AACATTTAATATTGAAAATGAATATAAACAAGCTACTCAAATTGGTGGAAAACAATATATACGTCTTGCTGGTTTACGTGATGATATTTCAAATAATAATGGATTTAGTAAATCATTAAATGATGGAAGAAGAAAACAAAAATCATCAAAATATGAAAAAACACAAAGGAAATTTTCATTTCATTCATTCTTTATTATAGGAATGACTAAAAATCAAATTATTCAACAAACATTATTTGGTGGAAAAGAAGGAGCAAGTGCTTTAGCTCATTTAATAAAAGCAAAAGTAATTCCTGATTGTGTAAGTTCAATATGGGTATGTTGTGTTGATAAAAGATATGAAAATGGAAGAAATGGTAAATTTTCTGTATCTAAACAAAATATTACATGGTCAGGTGGAAAACTTAAACCAGATATAGATGATGAAAAAGGATTAACAAAATATTTAATTATTTATTTATGTGCTAAAGATAATGACTATATGATTAAAAAACAATAATTCAATTATCTTTTTATAATTCTTAAATCTCCTGTTAAATTATCTATTTTTAATACTTCATTTTGATTTATAGATTGATATAAATAATAAGCAACAGAATTTGTAGCTGATCCTGCTGTTTGTCTATAAATATATCCAAAATTTTCTTTAGAATATCCTTTAAATATAATAATTGTTGCAATTTGTGTTTTAAATGATGGATTTAATGCTTTCCAAATATGTAAATTCACAATAATTGTTGTTTTTAAATGTCTTAATCTTGTAATAATTTCTCCCCATGTTTTATCTTCTTTCATTAATGCAAATGATGCATCTTCTAATATAATTAATAAATGTTTTTCTTGTGGTTGTTTATAATATTGCATTAATGCTGGCATAAATTTTTCATAATTCATTCCATAAATTGGTGTTTTAATTAAATCTTTTAATTCTTTAAATGTTTCATCTTCTCCTGCGTTTTGTGATACATAGATAATCGCTTCATATTGGTGTTCTATTTTGTTGAGTTTCGCTAATTCTTTCATAATAAATGTTGTTTTCCCTGCTCCTTGTTTCCCTATAATAATATTAAAACTATTATAATAAAAGAATATTTGTCGATGAACTCTTTTAATTTGATTCTCTCCTTTAATATTACTTAATCTTTCTTTAATTTCTTTATCTATTTCTTCTTCTCCAATATCATCATCATCATCTTCTTCTCTATAATCATTTATATCATCATATTCAAAATTATCAAATTCCATAAACTAAAATATAAAGATTGAATTATTTAATAGTTTGTTTGAAAAACTTCTAGTCTTTGTTCTAATAGTCCATTTCTTATTTCTTCATTTGTTTTCATTTCTTGAATATATAAATTTCTTATTTTCTCTAATTCTTTTCTTAATCGTTTATTCTCTGAAATAATATCTTCCATAATATCATTTGGATTATCAATCACTTGTCTTTTAATATATTGATTCATTTTATCTTTTTGATTTCTTGTTTTCTTAGGTGCTGCTTGTTCTATCAGTGGATTACTTGGTCTTATCATTGCTGGTGGCATTTCATTAATATCAATTACTTGACTTTCAACAGTGTTTTGTGGTGTATTGTTCATATTCTTATTATTTGTTTTTTCTTGATTTTCTTGTTGTTTAAATATCATGTTGAAATATTATTCGTGTCATTCTATATTCGATTTTCTTCTTTCATGAGTTTTATCAACTAGGGTCCTTTCATTATTATCATAAATACATCATTTCAAACTCATTATTTCATTTGATCAAATGACAACATTAAAAGATATTCTCATTACACTTGCTGGTTATGAAATAGATCAACCAACATTAGAAGAAGCAATTAAACTTCAACAAGAAATTGCAAGTTTATTACCATCACTTCATGAAGAACATCAGAAAAAATTAATGAAACAAGCATATTGGAAATGTGTATGGTTAATAAATACTTTAGCACCTTGGGTTAATAAAAATGATTGATTATTTTATACAAAATTATTTATTAAATTAATTCAATTAAATTTATTTTCATTTTCTCTTATTCTTCTTTGAAGATATTATTGAATGGAAATATAATCAAATTATATGTTAAATTTATTAGTTATTATGTGTTAGTATTGAAAAAATAAATAAAATGAGTTAAAAGTCAATTGAGAACCGAACCAAAGTCCGAAGTTAATTAGAATTCATCACCGACTTCATCATATCTTTGCTCCTTGTTGGATCTGTCATAAATAGCGAAGGCCACTGTGTGAGCTTGCACAATTCCGTCTCTTAGGAACCACAAATCAATGTATGGGCTATAACGATCTATCAAACTCCATTCTAAATTATTGATTCCAATATCTGTCATTTTCTTTAAGAATGCGATTATTACACAATATTCGTCACGTATAGTGTCGGTATTGACATTGTAGTTTTGCATATAATAACATTCTTGGTACATTTCAAACAAATCGTCGAATGAATAATATCTAGAAAGAAATGATGTGAAATCTATCATAAATTTATATTCTTTATCTGACAAATCGATTAATGCGAGTCTGTATCTATCACATAGACAATAATAATTATTTATGTTAATTCCCATTGTTATCGTTTGATGATACAATAAAACTCACAGTAGTTTAAATACTCAGTTGGAAAGATACCTAATAGGACATTCAGAATATTGTTTGAATGGAACAGGATAAATAAATAGAACATATTCTATAAATATAATTTAAATAATTAAATGTATCTATTCATAATCGGTAAAAAGACAGAACATTAGGGTTAAAAATTAAGAGATATGAGACCAATAATTATTAGATATGAGGTAATAAAAATAAATGATATTTAAAACAATATTTATAATGATCTAAAAATAGAACACATTCTATAAATAAAATCTCAAATAAATGTTATATAAAACAACTTAATAAAATTTACTTTTAATGCTTAATATGATGATATCACACTATCGTCAAATTGTACCATAAAAAAATTATTATAAAAAGAAAAAAATTAAAATTAATTTCTAATTTAAGAGAAATAATAAAAATAGATAATTAAGTATTAATAGAAATATCTTCTATTGTTCCTTGCTCAGTGGAGATTAATTAATCACATCCCTTCGCTTTAAATGTATCTGTTCTTCAACTATTGGATTATTCTTTGCTTCTAGTTGTTGAACTGTGAGAACTTTCTTTTCTCATTTTTGATGTTGAATAGAGTATTTTAGACACCCTATTTAGATATTCATTATTAAATTTCTTTTTAATTTTGATGAATATTAAATTTATTCTTCTTTATTTTATTATTTTAAGAGAATATATAATTACTACTATATTGCTTTGGGCTAATATTCTTTTAGCCTCATCCACTTGACCCTTTTCCTTTGATAATCTTTCTTATATTATCAAATATACATGTATTCTAACAAGTAATAATAACATCTTTATAAATACCCATTCGTTTATTGTCAATGATATTCTGTAATTGTACATAATAAACACTGCTATTCTTGAAGTACTGGGTAAGATGTTTTTCTAACCAAACGCAACGCCATAACCAGTCAATAACTGGGGGTCAAAGGCTGATAATATTTTAGTGTTCTGTGTGGTGTCTCTGGCATGATATCTTCGAATCCCAAAAGTAAAAAGAAAGAAAATAAAAATGAAAAATGAAATAAGAAAATTTAAGAATAAAATATCTAAACTTTTTTAAATAAAAAAAATAGTCTTTTACGTTTTATTATTTTTTGTAGTTCTAACTTTGTGTCAATCATTAAACTTAGTCAGTAATATTCAGCAACACTGATCAAAGATATTTAATTAACAACATAATCAAGTGGTTAGTGTTAATAGTTTATATAATTAGGATTTAAAATTAAACAACAAAATCTCATCAAAGAAATATTATAAATAAAGAAATATCTATTGTTTAATACAAAAATCATATAAACTAATGCCATCAAATAAAGAAAATGAAATAGTACTATACAAAGTTGTGAATTTATCAAATTAAATGCCTTGAATTAAAAACTGTTCACTTCTGTGAGCTGTGAACAACAAAAAAAAAAGAATGATTAAATGAAAATAAATAACTGATGAATTGAAAAATAAAAATAATATAATTCAAAATATATAATGTTATACTGTAATACGTGTTGTATTACTTTTTAATTGTAAAGTACAAAAAATGCTATATCTTAAACAAAATAAAAGAGGGCGAAGTTGTAATTTAAAACTAAGATAATAATTATGAAATTGGTAATTAAAACTACGTCAAAACCAGCAAAAACAAAATCTAATAAATTCATAGATGGATATAAAAAGAGTTTCATTTAAATTTATTATATATCAACAACAAATGAAAGTGTTAGTAATAATATATAATATGTACAAAGAGTGTTGATAAAAAATGATGACAAAACATTTCAATAATATAGAAAAAAGTAATGAATAACTGTACACAACAAAAAAAGTAAAAAAGGATAGAAGAAGTTTAAAAATAAAGATAAATCAATCTTTTTTTTTTAAAGTTTATTATATAAATATACAGATAAGTGTATTAAAGATGTACCTTATTCTTTAAACATAAAAAAAAATTTAATGTGATTCTTGAAAGGTTGAAAGTAAAATAATATATACCGATTAATTGATAAAAAGTTTCAATAATATAATACTAAATATTCTAAAACCAAAACAATAAACAATTCATTTGTTATTGGAACCTTCATTAATTAAAAACAAAAAGATTAGGTATTTAATAAAATACTTAGATTACAGTCATGAAATATTATACTACTAAGTATCAATCTACATTAGTGAGTAGAATATTTTCATATCAAGAAATAAACAAAATAAATATTAATTATGTTATAATTAATTTAAACGAAGTATTTAAATAAATACTAAATAAACGGAATAAGGACTACGTCCTATGATATTGGTGAATAACTTAGAACTGAAGACAAAGAGTTATTTTAATTTATGTAAGAATAATTGTTTTCAAGGTTATTACTAAAAATAATAATGAATTGAAAATAAAAATCAATCTTTTTTAATACCAATATTATTTTTTATGTATGAAATATGTAATATTGATATATAAAATAGTTACATTTTGATATAAACATTATAAACAGAATCCATGAGTCGAATATTGTATAGCACAAAAAGTAAATTTTACTTTAACATAACTTTAAAAATTACAAATTATCAAAACTCTGAAAATTGAATGATTGAATCATATTCATTATTAGAAAATATTTTTTTCGTTAAAACAAGAGTTAACTATTCATAAAAACAACAAAACCTTTCCGTCATTATCAAGCAAATCTAGTTTATCCCGTTGTATTTTTTTTTTCATTTGAAAATTGTGTAAATTAATGAACCTAATTTCCATTTTTGTGTTCACTTTGATTCTACTTTATTTACAACATAAACTCCAATCAAATTAAAGCAAGTTTTATTACCTTTTTATGTTAATACATTTGTTCCCTTCAAAGTTTAAATCTATTTTTATTTTTGTTTCTTTTTTTTTTTGAGGATTAAAAAAAGAATTAACAATTCAATTTTGTTTCGTGAGATCGAAAATTATTTATAAAATCCATTAAATTGAATAATCTGTTAGTTTGTTTCAGCCTGAAGTTATAAATAACTTATCGAAATATTAGAAGAATATTAAAAATGAAAACGAATATAAAAATAAGAGTATTTAAAGTTTCTTTAAAGTACTAATTATTCACCAATTAAAGTTATGCTAGGTACTAAAGGCATTATTGCTATTGTGGCTATAGCCTCTGCTATTGTTACAGGAGTAATCATTATTGTTGTCGTTGTCACACTCTCTGTGGTCTTAACTAGAGACAACGTTGAAGAAACTAACCTTGTTGATATTTCTGATATTATTACTAACGACCCACAAATGACAAATGAAATGGACACTTTAGAGGTTATTTCTTCTTCTAAATTTAGTGGAACAAAACCAAAGGAATGGCAAATGAAATACACAAAATATCCATATTGGAGGTGTGGACTTACATTTACTAATGAAGAAAAACAAAACATTATTGATGAAAATAAGGAATATATGAATTCGTTATTAGAACTTATTAAGAGTGGATCATTAGGAAGAATGCCAGAAAAATTTGGTGGAGAAAAACAATTTGAAGCTGATGAAGTTAATTGGAATGCTGATAGATTAGAAGTTAGATATGGTGTTTTCGGTAGAGTTTTTGGTCAAAGAGCTGTTGCATGGGCTTTTCCAGGGGAAGTAGTCACAATTAAATTCCCTAAAGGAATGAGTTATAAAGGAGTTCAAGTTAGTATTGGTAAATGTAATCATAATCCTAGTGACCAATGGTTAGACAATATTAGTAGGTGGTCAAATGATAGAATGCCAATTGATTCAATTGGATTTGATTTAGGAAAAAATACAACTGAATCATATATTATTAATGACACATTTAAAATAGGTTCACCATTTGGAGGTATGGTTTATTTAAGACTTGATGCAACATTTACAAATTCATTTTATGTTACGTTCAGTAATGTTGGAAGGGCTCCAATTATTAACTATAATATTACGACAAATGAAGAGTGGAATAGTGTTTTGAAAAATGCACCAGGAAATGTTGCAGAAATAAGAACTCCAGGAAATAGACTTGTATTTACTTCAAGACACATTAGAAATTTGGAAGACGCACAATACATTAGTGATTACTGGTTAAAAGCTATCAGTATTTCTAACTATGCTGTTACACTTGAAAACATTCCAATCACATTAAACTTTGATCAAAGAGTTGATGCTGGAGCTGCTGTTGCATTTGTAGGAAGATGGTTTACTCAACACCCATCTGATTGGGCGTCTGGATGCGTTAACAAAGAAGGATTAATAAATTCTGGAAATTGGGGACCATTACATGAAATGAATCATCACATGCAAGGAACTTATTTAAGAGGAGGAAATTGGGGTATCAAAGAACCAGGAGAAGAAACTAATAATGTTATGACATCAATTAATTATATTTTGTATACGAATATTGCAGGACATAGAAATCAAGGGCTTAGTGGTTGGAATTATGTTTCTGATGGCTATTCTACAATATATAAAATTCTTAATGGTGAAAATGATCAACCTCATTTAAGGTCTTATGTTAATATTGCACATGCATTTGGAACAGATACTTTAATTGCTTTAGTTAAATCTTATTATGGGTTATGGTATGAAAATAATTATGAAGGTGAGTATTCAATTAAGAGAGATTCAACTTCAGCTTTCTGTTTGTTAGCTGCAATTGCTACAAAAAGAGATACTAGATATTTATGTTCTCTTTTTAAATACGATATACAACAAAATGTTTCAGAAGCAATTAAAAACATGAATTATCCAACTTATTATCCATTCTTCAATGTTTATGCTATGAGTTACAATGGAAATTATTATGGAAGAACATATAAAATTCCATATGGTACAACTAGATTGAATTTTACAGCAACCACTGCTATAGATCCAAGTGCAACTAGTGTTAGTTACACCATTAAATCTGGTTTAACTAAAGGAAAGTTAGAACAAGTTGAAGAAAATGTTTATGATTATACACCAAACTTTGGAGCAGATGAAAATGATACTTTTGTTTTGAATATTGATTGTATCGTTAATGGAGAAAAGGTACATATTGAACAAGACGGAACATTTGAACTAGACCCACATCAAGTAGAGTATGAAGTTTATAAAGATGTTAAAACAAAAGATATGGAACAAGCTCTTAATACTATTCAGAATAAAACTTCTAATTATACTGGTACGTCTACATTCTTTGGAATTGGAAATTATGATGATGGAACAATGCAATCAATGTTAGTAGAAAAAGGTAAACTGATAGTTCCAACATCAGGATATTATACATTGTTTATGAAAGCAGATGATTTAGGAAGGTTGTTGTTAAATGTTAATGGAGAGTATGAACAATTATTAAATGTTAAAACATATCTTGGAGGTTATTCAAAAACTATCAATGGAACTTATGCAACTGTAAAATTAGAGAAAGATACTGAATATCCATTTATTCTTTACAACCTAAATACTGGAGGACAAGGATTTATTAGAATAGGGTATTGTTATCAAGGAACAGATCAGTCTAGTGTTAATGTTTCTAAATGTAGTGTATTAGATATTGGAAGCTCTATGATCCTTAATGAAAAAGTTAAAGCAGGAGCAAAAGAACCAGAATTTCAAATACCACCAATTAAGTATAGTAGACCAACAAGATTCTTAACCAATGCATATAGAACTATTCCAAAATGTTTGAATGGTGATGATGATTGTTCCATTAAATGTATCTCATTGCCACTTAAACAAGATGATTCAAACAAATGTTCTAATATGTTTGATGATAATTACTCTACTATGTATCATTCAAGATGGACTGGAGGTGGAACTACTTTCCCAGTTAATTATACATTTGAATTCCCTGAAAATGTAACATTTAACAATTTGTATATTCATCACAGAAGACCTCAAGATTCATGGGGATACTTTGAAATATTTATTAAATCTCCAGAGACTGGTGAAATGAAGTTATTAGAAGAGTATAATCATCAACAATCTACTACAACAGAGATTGATTTCCAAGATTTAATTACAACTGATAGCGTTCAATTTATTGTATACAATAATTCAAATGGTGGAAATTATGTTAATGTAGTTGAATTGTCCTTTAATATTAAGGAAAGTTTTAAGAATTATACAAATTCATTTGGACCAAATATTAAGAGTCAAGGATTTAAGAAAGTCATTACACCAGGTGCTTCAGGAGGATATCTTGCAGTCAATGAACATGAAGGAAAAGGATCACTTTGTTTCAAAGCTAAAGTCACTAAATTTGGGCTTTATGGATTTAGAAAACCAACATCTGGAAAATTTAGAGTTACAATTGATTCTCAACAAGGTGAAGTTACTAGCCAAAGTTATTTCTCTGATTCTGAAAGAACATTATTCTATACTCATACTTTTGATGAAACTGAAGCAAATAAAGTTCATGATATCTGTGTAGATGTTGTTGAGGGAACAATTAATCTTGATATTATTGGTTCTTCTTAAACATTATTTGAAGATATTTTCATTTTAAATTAATGTTTATTTAAATTCTGTTGTGAAAATTTTAATCTATTTTATTAAATATTGAATGGTGTATTTTTCATCTTTATAGAAAAGTTAATTGTAATTTTGATTGTATTTTATAATATAATACCTCTTTTCATTTTCATATCTCATAGATATTTTATTTGTTTATGTATTAATAACCCAAATAAAATACAGCTCACTAATTTTTTATGTTCTCTTCAATTCAAATTTATAGATAAATAAAATGATATTTTTTTTAAATTTTAATTCTTAATCTTTCTCTAAAATTATAAATTAGTACTCTTGATTACCTCTCTAAAATATAAAATAATAGTTATAATTTAAATTATTATTGAAGAAGATACCCTTCATAGTTAGAATCAAAAATTCAAGACAATCAATAAAATTTATCATCTTAGATTATCTCAAAATAATAGTGATAAACAAAACATTAAAACATTTATAACTTTTAGTTAAAACAAATTTAAAATTAGTTGTTAAAACTAAAATACAAAACATTAAACTCTTCATAACATTGTTTGACCTTTTGTATGAAAAATTTTTTAAATTAAATTTAATAACTCAACTTATCAAAAAATTCTTTGAAATAAACTTCAAAAGATATTTTAATAAACACTAAGGTTCATTAACGGTTAATACTTTTAGTTGAAATTGGAAAACTAAGAGTTTTGAATGTGTACCTTGAATAAAATCTTTCTGGCATTAGTAAAAAGAAGTATAAAGATTAAATAAGCAGACGAGTTAAATCATAAAACATTCAAAATGTCCTTTCAAGAAAGAAACTAAATAGATATTTATGAAAACAGTTTTATCAGTTTCTGAGGTATTTTTTTCTGATACTAGAAACAAAAAACTTCTTATACTGTAAGTCTTCTTGTAATCATTTTATCAAAATAGAATAGTAAACATTTTGAGTATATCAACAATAGTATTATTGTATAACAAAAATAAAAAAATAAATTTTGGTTTAATTAAAAAATATTTTTCAAAAGATATTTTTAGAATATACGAAAAAAAATGACAGGCAGTGAGTACAAAAAGAAATATAAAAATAATGAGAAATATTATTCTTGAAAAGAAAAGAGTAATAAATAAAAATAACGAACTAGGAAAAGAAATAACAAAAACGAATTTTGCCTGTCAAGTATTTCTTTTATTTTTGGAACTTAAAATATCTAACCAATTAAAGTTATGATCAACTTTATTATTATTGGATTACTTTGTGTTACTTTTGGATTAGGCCAAGGAAATGATGAGTATTGTGATTTTGACTGTTTTATCGAAGGACTGTCATTTACAGTTGATTTAGAAGGAAAAATGTCTACAATGGGATATAATATTCCATCATTAACATTTGATGGAATGACAGTGAACCAAATTAGTGGTTCGACTGATAATAAAGATGAACCAAAAGCTTTTAATGCCTCTATTACTTTACATTCATTACATGCTATAGGAGATATTTTAAAAGAAAGTAGTAATAAAAAAATTGGATACATGGAACTTAAATTAACTGATGCATCAGCTGGATTTAGTATGGGATTTGATAGTTATGATTATTGTGGATATAATTTAATTTCTGGAACAGAACCATCTATAACTATTGACTTAAACACTAAAAGTGCTAAAATTGATTTAAAATGTACTGATTGTGGAGTACTTGATTCAATTGTACTAGGACTTGGAGATTTCTTTATTTCTATTATCAAGAATTTCTTACAGAAAATAGTCAATAATAATATTGATAAAGTTAACCAAATGGTTAAAACTTCCTTAGATGAAGTATTTCTTAATATTAATAAGAATTATACAGAAAAATATATAAATAATACCCAACCTCTTAACATTCCTATTGAAGATGGAATGATGAATGTTACAGAAAGTACCTTTTTTGATATGTTATCATGGACAACAACAGAGTTATTAGGTGGAAATAGTTCATTAGGGCTAAATCAAATTATAGATAGATTTACTCATAACACAGGTAGTATTGTTGCAGGAGGAGGTGATGATACTTTTAAAGAATTAACTGATGAAATCATTTCTGGATTAACATTTAATGGAATTGAGTGGCCAGAAGTTAATGGTACTATAGATTTTGGATTAACATATTTTAATGTTAGTGGATTAGATACATGGTATGGACTACAGTTTTTCGAACCATTAAGAGATACTCCAGTAAGTAAAGAAAATAATGAGTCAATGTGTAGTATTGAACCTAATTGTGACCAACAACTAAGAATTGCTTCTGGATTGAAAACACTTGACATTTTTATGACATTTTCTATTAATGCAACTGCTAATAGTTCTTCAATATCAACAAATGGAAAGAAAATTCATGAAGAAGCAGATTTTCATGTTATTGTAACAAATAATGAAATGGAAGGAAGAATTCAAATAGCTATTGTAGATGGTCAATTTGAAAACTATACTAATAATATGTGTACTAATGGAACTTGTTGGAGTGCTTTATTGGATCATCATGGAACTGGGGTTCCTATTGTATTATTAAATACCAGTATTGATTATATTGGAATTACTGCTGCATCAGCTTATCTTGAAGATGGAATTCAACAAATTATTAACTCCATTGCTGATGTATTTATTTATAATTACAAACCAGTTATTCCTGCTTTTCTTAATGGCCTTATAAATGAATTTGCAACAGTAAATATTAATAATATGTTCAATGAATCTTTAGGTGTAGAATGTGAAGAAGATCCCGACGAAATTATTTTAGGATATAAACCTTCTG